TGAGAGAGAGAGTGTGTGTGTGTGTGTGTGTGTGTGTGTGTGTGTGTGAGAGAGAGAGTGTGTGTGTGTGTGTGTATACTCACCCTCCTCCTCCGGAGAGGGGCAGATCTCACACGGGTCGCCCCATCCCTGACCCGGCATCACGCTGCAGCAGCAGGAGTCTTTAGTTGTGTTGAAGGGCTTCGGAGCCTGACAGCGTCCGTTCTCGAACTTAGTGTAACAATAATTCACACGAATATCTGACGACAACAAACACACATTGATTTCTTGTGTAAAGCTGCCAAAGTATTCTTAGATTCATTAAAGTAGAAGAATTTAGGAAGAATAATTTGGGAAGAATCAATTCAGAAAAGTAATTTGGGTAGAGTCAATTGAGAAGAATCATTTGAGAACTATTTAAGAAAGAATAAAGTTCAATCTTTCTAAAATGGAAACAAGGTGACTTGTTGAAAATAACTAAACATATAAAAACAAACTTGGCATTAGGAAATGACTTTCAATAAAGATATAAACATGAGGTTCACAGATGTAGATGATTCTTTCTCAAATGATTCTTCCCAAATGACTTTTTCTCCAATGATTCTGCTCAAGTCACAAGGTGCCTAAACATGATAGAGCCCGTTTAGATAGCAGAGTAAGTGTGTGTGCGTGTGTTTGTGTGTGAGAGTGTGTGTGTCTATGTGTGTGTGTGTGCGTGCGTGTGTGAGTTTGCAGATGCCTTTACACCCTCTAAACACACACACACACACACTGTCCTGTCCATGGAGTCAGACTGGAAAGTGTAAGCAAGTGAAAGACAACAAATGCACAAGCAGCCTTGTGTTCTGTTTCCTTCCTACATCTCGAGGAACAAATCATTCACTCATTAAACATGACGAGATTCCTGACTGATGACCTGCAGCATCACGGAATTGTGGGATATATATCTGCGATAACTCACCCATACATCTCTTTCCGGTCGAGGACAGCTGGAATCCCTCCGGACACTCGCACCTGAAGCTGCCTGGCGTGTTCACACACTTGCCAAAGATGCAGATCTCTGCCGTCTGAGAGCATTCGTCGATATCTGAGCAAACACAAACATGGATGAAGCGGTTTGAACCAGGGCTCTGAACCGGTTCAAGGAACGAAAACAAAAAACGGAAACGAATGAAAGCTTCTGTGAACGGAGAAAACAGAATAAAACTGTAGGCTTACATAAAAATTAATAGACTATATTGGCCTATACATTAAATATATTTCACTTAAATCATTGACAGATTAACAAAACGAAAGAAAAAAAAAATCGCTGATTTCGGTTCATTGCGATGCGATCCAAAGTTCACGGAAAGGAAAACGAGACGGCAGAAAGCAGTTTTATTTATTTTGCAAAAGCTCGACAGTTTTTAATGATGTTTTGCTTCTATCTGTATAACCAACCAGCGTTTATATGACCATATCGTGCCGACACCGACACAACATATTTTGCGACATTGCAGCCTGTTCATTATTCAAATAAAATACAGTTAAAGAAACATATAAAAAGTTGCACTGCTCTGTTGTGTTCACATAGCCGATGTGAAGGAGTGAAGTACAAAGTCTAGGCTATAACATAATAATATTTTAGCATCCAGATACGTCACGAATATGGAAGCATTTGGTTTCACCTGAAATAAATTTGCTTTTGTTTTATAGCCTTAACTTTAGAGGAATTGTTGTGGAGAGAAGGAAACTAATAACTGTGTTTAGATATGTATACGTACTGTATATATATATATATATCTATGGTGTCTGTTATTTCTGAATGTAATAATAAAATGCGACGTGAGCCTACGCAACTTGTTTTTTTTTAATGTCTTTTATGTCTATTAAAATACTTTAATGTCTTTAAAGCGTTAACAGATTTTTCTTTCTTTTGTTTAGTAGCCTAATCTAGAAAATCTACAAAAGATGCTGTGTAGCTGTGACTCAGCGCAGCGGGTTAAGATAACAGATCTCTTCCTGTTGTTTTTCTTTTTTGAGTAAAGAAAATGCTGTACTTTATTATTATTATAGGCAAAGAAAAGGTTTAAAAATAACGTTATTAACTGGTATTTTTTCTAGGCAAACCGGTTTCGGAACGATAATAATACAGAGGAACACAAATGTTAAAATATCGATTCTGCTCGGAGTGAACCGACTGAATTTAATTTTTTCGTTTTCAAGCCCTGGTTATAAAGCGGAGAGTTCCGGTGCTTGGCTCTGATTGGCTGAGCCGCGTTCGAAGCTGTTGTGAATGACGCTACAAAGTAACACACACCTTTGTTTACGTTTGTGTGTTGCTCGGCAACCACTTTGTAGCAACCACAACTGTTTCTGAGGCGCTACATTGTTTGGTGGAAGAATACTGTGTTTATTAATATCATTACACTTTATTTGCTCTGTTTAATTTTGTGAAACCTTACTACGTATATGGAATAACCGTTTTATAAAAGCAGTAACCCCCGTGAAGCCGTGGTTTACAGTGAATTTATAACCGCTTTGCTTCGTGCCTAACAACGCCCCTTAGCTGTTATAAATTCACTGCTTCTTGGGGCTTATTGCTTTATTTGAACACACTCGCTGTGAGCACTAGCACTAGTGACCATCGTCCCGAGCCTCACTGACCTTCACACCTGTCGTTCTGCAGGAAGTATCCAGGAGGACAGATGCACCTGTAGGAGCCGTCCAGATTCTGGCACGTTCCCGGGCCGCAGGTGCCGGGGCTGATCAAACACTCGTTGATGTCTGAGCAGAAGAGACGTGATAATAAATACACAAACATGCATGCATTGGAGGTCCAGCAGAGCAGCTTCAGGACTCACCGACGCACATCCAGCCATCAGGAGAGAGTTTATACCCGTCTAGACACACGCACACAAACGAGCCCACCGAGTTGATGCAGTTTCCGTTCCGACACAAGCCCCGGAGCGACGTGCACTCGTCTGTGTCTGAACAACGCAAACAAATCACAGCCGTTAAAGGATAAGTTCACTTCCAGATTAAAAATGTCCTGATAATATAATCAACCCCTGTGTCATCCAAGATGTTCATGTCTTTGTTTCTTCGGTCGCAAAGACATTACGTTTTTTTGAGGAAAACATTCCAGGACTTTTCTCCATATAGTGCACTTCAATGGTGGCCAACGATTTGAACGTCAAAATGCAGTTTCAAAGAGCTCTACACGATCCCAGCCGAGGAATAAGGGTCTTATCTAGCAAAACAATCACTCATTTTCTGAAAAAAAATTATATTTATACACTTTTTAACCGCAAATGCTCAGCTAGCGTTAGCTCTGCAACGCGCATGCGCGACGTAGGCGGAAGCACCGACCCAGTGTTTACAAAGCCAACATGCAAAAAAAAGTCAATGCCCTTTACAAAAAAAGGTAAAACAATGATGTTGAAGGATTTTAAAGTTGGAGGAGAAAATGAGATGGAGTTTTTAACCAAAGCACAAAGACAAAGAACTAACCGCGCGTGACCTTTCTAACAGGATTATGTAATGTGCGACAACGCGCATAGCAGAGCTAGAGCAAGCCGAGCATTTGTGGTTGAGAGAAAGAAAGAAATATTAATTTAAAAAGAAATGACTGATCGTTTCGCTAGATAAGACCCTTATTCCTCGGCTGGGATCGTTTAGAGTCATTTGAAGCTGTATTTTGGACTTTCAAATCATAGGCCACCATGGAAGTCCACTATATGGAGAAAAGTTTTTGAATGTTTTCCTCAAACTTAATTTCTTTGTGACTGAAGAAAGAAAGATATGAACATCTTGGATGACATGGAGGTCAGTGAACTTATCCACAAACACATGTCTGTCTGCTGTGGAATTAATAAATATTCTACACTTATTTATACATTTTATATAACAGCTACATGCTTCAAGTCAACAGGAAAGCAATAATGATGGTTAAAAACAATATCATCATTAAAACACCACTTGTTAACACTTGTGTGTGTGTACCGATGCAGTCGTTGTTGTGTGACAGCTGGAATCCTGAGTAACACAGGCAGTTGTAGGAGCCCACAGTGTTCTTGCAGGTTCCATTTCCACACGGCTGACGCTCGCACTCGTCCACATCTGAACACAGACCACAGGCGGTCGGTTAGTTATGAACACAGACCACAGACGGTCAGTTAGTTATGAACACGGATGGTCAGTTAGTTAGTAATTAACACAGACGGACAGTTATTTATGAACATAAACCATCAGTTAGTTATGAACATAGACCACAGACGATTAGTTGGTTATGAACACGTGTAGTTGGTTAATCATGAACACAGACAGTTAGTTAGTTAGTTATGAACAGACCCCAGAAGGTTAGTTAGTTATCTACATGAGGATGTACCACATATGAGCAGACAGACAGACAGACAGATGGGTGTGTGAGGCTGATCTCTCACCGATACACAGGTCTGGCGTGGATTTGAAGCCGTTGGGGCAGATGCAGCGGTAACTACCCACCATGTCAATACACTGACCAGGACTGCAGATGTTTGGATTCTCAGCACACTCATTACGATCTGAGAGGAAGAGTCAAACATCATCATCATCATCATCATCATCACACACACTATGAGCAATATGAGATATTTCCATTACACACACACTCACCGACACACTGCTGGGTGGGAGTTTGCCGGTATCCAGGTCTACACTCGCAGCGGAAACTTCCAGGAACGTTCAGACAGACGGCGTTCTGCTGACACACCGGCCCGTTCTGACACTCGTCAATATCTGCACACACATCATTCACAGAGCGCTGAGAGTGAATCATCTTATTTCATTCGCACAGATTGTCACAGATCCTGTAACATTTTTTGTTTGTTATTGCAGATTTTACTCTCCAGAGGGGCGTAACATGGACTCTTATTTGATAAAATACAGTCGTATCAAAGCATTTCGGGGATATGTTTCACTATATTATAGTGTTTGTTTATTATTTATTGAAATAAAACCATGAAATGTCATGATTTAAGGTTTTAAATTCCTAACAGACATTTTATTTTCATAACAGGCTGACAGAGATATATGCAAACATATGATAATCTAAAATAAACAGGTATAATATTTAGAGCTCTTACCCTCACAGATCAGCAACTTGTCATTATAGACAAAACCCATCGGACATTCACAGCGGAAACTGCCGATCATGTTGATACACACGCCGTTCTCACACACACCGGGAATCTCACGGCACTCGTCGATGTCTGCGGTTCTCACACACACACACACACACACACACACACACACACACACAGAGGATGGATGTGAAGTCTCGCAGACACAGAACTGTGTTTGAATGTCTTTGAGTGTGTCTGTGCATTTACCAATGACTTGACCGGTGTAAATGTCAATGAAATATCCAGGTATCTCACTTCCACACAGCACAGCGAACTCATCTGCAGTAGAGAACAGCGTTACTGTCATGACTGTGTCTTTGTCTGATTTTTTTTAATCGATTTAAGGCTTTTAAAGACCTTTTTTAACGATTAATCGTGATTAAAATTCAAATAAAAGTTTTGTTTACATACAGTATGCGTGTACTGCGTATATTTATTATGTATATATAAATACACACACATGCATGTATATATTTCAGAAAAATATGCTTATATATCAAATATATTTTTTATATAATATAAATTATATGAACGTAAATATATACATGTAAATACATGTACATATTTTCAAAATATATGCTGTATGTGTGTTTATATATACATAATAAACATACACAGTACACACATATTATGTAAACAAAAACTTTTTTGAAAATTTTGAATGTGATTAATCGTTTGACAGCACTTATTAAAATATATATTTAAAATTATATATATGTATATACACACACACACACACACACACATAAATATATATATATATATATATATATATATATATATATACACACACACACATAAATATATATATATATATATACACACACACACATACACATATATACATATATATGCAATAGCACCATGTTTTTAGTTTGAAACACACAGCTCTCATATTTAATCAAATCATAGCCTTTTAAAGTTAATCATCACATTAACCCATAGTAAAATTCCTCCTCAGATGAATGGCTTGTTGTACTCCTCGTGTGCTTCAGATGAAAGCTCGTGCTAAATGAATGAATGTTAGTGTGTGTCTCACTGGTGCTGGGGACGGGACACTTCTCGCAGGGTTTATTCCAGGCCCGGCCGATGTTGTATGAGCAGCAGCAGAACTTCTTGGTCATGTTGAAGGCCAGCTCTCCATCACATGTGGCATTATCAGAGTAGTAGTTCCTGTAGCACAAGCTCTTCCTCATGTCTGAACACACAGCACAACAAACGCGTCACAGTCTGCGCTGAAGGAAACCGCTGGCGTGATGCGTGTAGCGTGACTCACCCATGCAGTTGTTTCCTCCGTTGATCTGCATGTACTCCGAAGGGCAGATGCAGGTGTAGTTCCCAATGGTGTTGTAACACTGACCCGGACCACAGATGCCGGGACGCTCACACTCATCCACATCTACACACACACAATGAATCAATATTTTAAGGCAGTGGCTATTTGCACTAAGTGTAAATAGTATATTTTCTTAGCGATAGATGCTATTTACACTAAGTGCAAATAGCAATGGATTCTATTCACACTAAGTGCAAATAACAATGGATTCTATTTACACTAAGTGCAAATTGCTATATATTCTATTCACACTAAGTGCAAATAGCAATGGATTCTATTCACACTAAGTGCAAATAACAATGGATTCTATTCACACTAAGTGCAAATAGCAATGGATTCTATTCACACTAAGTGCAAATTGCTATATATTCTATTTACACTATACTAAAATTGCAAGATTTTCTGCTATTTGTACTACTTGCTGCAACAAGTGGTAATTATCTGCACCTCAGTATTGTAGTACATTATAAAATAGTATGCAATAATAACTTATTGAGTGTAAATTATCATTTTAATTTAAACATCAGCTCCAGTGGCACAGATGGATAAGCACGTGTCATCGACTTTTTGATGCGATCGACCCGGGTTCGATCCTGCCTTTTGCCGAGCTTTTTTTCCCTCCCTTTTCAAATCTCATATTAGCAATGGGTCCTATTTACACTAAGTGAAAATAGCAGTATTTTTAGCAATATGATATTTACACTAAGTGCAAATACCTAGTTACACTATGTTAAAATAGCAGGATTTCTACTATCAAGTATACTACTTGTTGCAAATAGTGGTAATTATCTGCACTTCAGTATGCAATAATAACGTATTGAGTGTAAATTATCATTTTAATTTAAATTATTAAATGGATGCAAAGCCCTCCCTACCCATAACCGAACCCGATAATTTATTTTAAACTTTTTGATTATTTCATTCATTTTTATTGACAATTTCTGATGTGATATGAGATTTGAAAAGGGAGAGAAAAAGGCCTCTGCCAACAAGGCGTGATATTTGCACTTATAGTAAATAGACACTCTGATATTTTAATTCAAATGCATTTTAAACTGACTCACACTTTTGTTGATTCATACTAATTTTTTTATAATGATGCTGGAAAAACAGTGTACAGAGTGTGAAGCACTACAGAAATAAAGCTGACTTCATGAGAGCGACAGAGAGTGTGTGAAAGAGGAAGTTGTACTGACCTTCACAGATCCTGGTCTCTTCACTGAGTGAAAAACCTTTCGGACATTCACAGTGGAAACTGCCAAACGTGTTGATGCAGTTTCCTCCCTGACACAGACCAGGCAGCTCCTGACACTCGTTGATATCTGACACACAGACAGAGAGCTCAGCATGCAGCACTGGAGGACGTGTGTTTGTGAGTGTGTGTGTGTGTGTGTGTGTGTGAGAGAGTGAGTGAGTGAGTGAGTGAGTGTGTGTGTGTGTGTGTGTGAGTGAGTGTGTGTGTGAGTGTGAGTGTGTGTGTGTGTGTGAGTGAGTGAGTGAGTGAGTG